AAGGTCCAAGACAGAAATTAGCAAAAGATTAATACAAGAATATTTCCCAAAGTTGAGGAAATCCCATTGCCCATGGGCAAAGTTCAGAAGGGTTAGGAAAGAAGGAAGAATGAAAATTAGGAACACAGAGAAAGCAGGATGCGAGATATTATACTGTGGGGACAGTATTCCATGATGTGAAACAAAATGCCTATCAGTTGTTGAACGGAAAACCAATTCACTCTGTAAACTTTCACCCCAATTATAGTAAAAAGTTATGGAGCTCTGGTAACTTAGTGGTTCCGAATCGGGCTGCAAACCTTAAGGTCAGCAGTTCGAAACTACCAGCTGTTCCGCGGGAGAAAGATAAGGCTTTCTGCTCCCATAAAGATTTACAGCCTCGGAAACTCTGTACAGGGTCACTATGAGTCAGAACCGACTCCATGGCACATAACAACAACAACAACAAAAACAATAGTAAAAAGTTAAAGGAAAAGAAAGTGAATTCCAGATTGAAAAGGCTGACTGGGTGCTTGTTGTTAGGTGCCATCAAGTCAGCTCTGATACACAGTGACCCCCAACCTCACAACCATTGCTCTTTCAGCCACTGTGCCAATCCATCTCTTTAAGGGTCTTCCTCTGGTTTGCTGACCCTGTATTTCACCAAGCATGGTGGCCTTCTCCCGAGACTAGTTCTTTCTGATACTATGTTGGAAGTATGCGAGACAGTTTGCCATCCTCAGAAGTATTCTAGCTGTACTTCTTCCAAGACAGATTTGTTCATTCTTCTGTCAGACCACGGTATATACAATATTCTTCAACAACACAATTCAAATGCACACATTTTTCTTTGCTCTTCCTTATTCACTGTCTAGCTTTCCCATGCAGTCAAGGCAAATGAAAATACCATCGTGTATAGGGTCAGGCACACCTTTATATTATTTGGTTGACATGACTGGGTTCTGTAAATATTATTTTACTGAGAACTCAGCATTTCCCAAGCTGAAAGAACAGAAGAAAAAATTCAAGCCTTGGGTTGCAATGTTGTTGTTGTTATGTGCCATGGAGTTGGTTCCCACTCATAGTGACCCTGTACAGGGTTTCCGAGGTTGTAAATCTTTATGGGAGCAGAAAGCCTCATCTTTCTCCCGTGGAACAGCTAGTAGTTTTGAACTGCAGAACTTTAGGCTTGTAGCCTGATTCATAACCACTAGGCTAAGGTTTTTATGAGCAAAATATTGAATGATACAGAAAGCATCAAAAGAAGATGGAAAGAAGACACAGAGTCACTGTACCAAAAAAAAAAAAAAAAAGTTGATGTTCAAACATTTCAAGAGGTAGCATGTGATCAAAAACCAATGGTCCTGGAGGAAGAAGTCCAAGGTGCATTGCATTGAAGACATTGGCAAAAAACAAGGCTCGGGAAATTGATGACATATAAATGGAAATCTTTCAACAAATGAAGGCAGCACAGGAGGCACTCACTCATTTCAAGAAATTTGGAAGACAGCTGCCTGGTCAACTGACTGGAAGAGATCCATATTTGTGCCCATTCCAAAGAGAGGTGACCCAACAGAATGCGGAAATCATCGGACAATATCATGATATAACATGCAAGTAAAATTTCCTTAAGCTAATTCAAAGACGGCAAGGTTGTATCATCTGCAGATAGCAGGTTGTTAATGAGTTTTCCTCCAATCCTGATGCCATATTTTTCTTCATATAACCCAGTTTCTCAGATTATTTGTTCAGCATACAGGTTGAATAAGTATGGTGGAAGACTATAACCCTATTGCACACCTTTCTTAATTTTAAACCATTCAGTGCTCCCATGTTCTGTTCGAGCAACTGCCTCTTGGTCCATGTACAGATTCCTCATGAGCACAATTAAGTGTGCTTTCCAGGGTAGTCCCTTCCTTTTCCTGGATTTATCATATTGTTGGTTCCTTAGGTAACAGTACTATCATTTACACCTGAATGAAGCTTTTCTAACATAGTATTTCCTCTGTATTACATATCACACTCGTCTTGAGTCTGATGTCAAAAGAAGGGAAAAAGAAATCTCTTCCCCTCTTCAAGGATTGTATTATCAGCTGCACTCCCACAATCTGGTGTAAGTAAATCTCCGTTCTTGTCTTTCTGCTAAAAGGCAAAGGCACGTATCAGAGACATCTTTGTGACCTGTCTATTATGTCTTCATATGGTGTCTATTCTGTTAGATTTAAAAGCTTGCTGGATTGAACGAAATATTCTAGGTGTTTTGTTCTTGAGCTTGGAATGAATTTTCACCTAGAAGAATGTTAACTATTTGTTTCGGTTACAACATATTGGGCTGCGAGTTATAATTATAAAAGAAAAAATAGCTTAAACCTCAAGGATATTTACTGCTTATTTCACCAGAAGCCTGAACACAGGCTGTGGCAGTGTGTTTGTGTTTTCAATGAATAAGGAAAACCAGACAAGACTCGATGCTTTTGAATGGTGGTGTCAATGAAGACTATTGAACGTTCCATGGGCTTCTCCTAGAAGACTGAAGAAATATGTTGTAGAAGAAGTACGTTCAGATTACTCCTTAGAAGCAACGAAGGAGAGACACTGTGTCTCGTACTTTGGACAACTGTGGAAGGACCAGTCCCTGGAGAAGGGTATCACGCTTGGGAAACTGGACGATCAATGAAAAAGAGGGAGACAATCAAGGAAATGGATTGACACACTGGCTGCAACAATGTGCACATAGAAATTATTGTGAGGATGGCCCAGGACCGAGCACTGCTGTTCTGTTGTACCCAGGAGCACTGTGAGTCAGAGTTGCTTCAATGGCACCTAACAATACAATGACAGAGTTCAGTCCTGGCTTCAGCTTGTCTCCATGATTCCAGGTTTCCTCATGCTTGCCATCTCATCATCCCCAAATGGCTGCCATCATGCCGGACACCAGGGCCTCATGCCATCATAGTCAAGGGAGGAAACATGAGCTTTCTCTCCTAGTAGTTGTCTTTCATCCAAATAGGATGTTTTCTTACTTCTCATTGACCAGAACTGATTACATGCGTTGTTCAGAATAGTCACTAGGGAGAGGGAATGAGCTCACTATGATCCTCCAGACTAATCCTGCTCCATTCGATGATACAAGCATGAGAACCTCTTTTTCTTGAAATTCTGGCAAGTAGGGTTTGGGTGTGATGACTCTGTTATTGAGCAACCATGACTAGTGTCTGCCTCAAGTTTATACACAACACACAAAATAGGACTTTTTAAAAAAAGTTTTTATTATGAACTGAGTGGTAATTTACATGGGAAAACATTGGTTTTACACTCATCTTATTGTATTTTGTTTCATTGCAACGATTACAATCCCCTTCGTGCATCATCATTCAAAAGTATTTGCTTCTATTCCCTCTGGGTTTTTTTAGATGTACACCTAAACACTCAGGAATGTATAATCATTTAAACAACCAAAGGGCACGTTCTGCAAACCTGCCTCCTGGCCTCCAGCACACAGCCTTTCTCTTTCCTTGAGTCTAGGGTCCTCAGCTGCTGTCTCTCTCCAAGTCGTTATCTCTGCCTCCATCTCTGGTGTGGATGCTTCTCTGGATGGGGTCCCACATTCTGCTCATGCTCTACTCTCTTAATGGTCCTGGGGTCCTGGACTGTAACATTAACTACTAAAACAGGATAATTATGTGTGTGTTGTTGTTAAGTACTGTAGAGTCAGCTCCAACTCATAGTGACCCTGCACAGAGTTTACGAGGCTGTAACTCTTTACCGGAGCAGAATGCCTCATCTTTCTCCGGCAGAACCGCTGGTAGTTTCAAACTGCTGACCTTGAGGTTGGCAGCCCTACTTGTAACCACTACACTACCAGAGCTAGGTTTGTATAAGAATCCTGGAGTCCTGGTGTGGTGCTGTAGATTAATGTGCTGGACTGCAGAGTCATTTGAACATCAAGATTGACGGTTCAAACTCACCACCTGCTCCTTGGAAACCCTATACAGGGTCTCTATGAGTCAGCACCGACTCCACCGCACTTACCAACAATAATAATCTAAGTTATGTTTCTCTTTGAGAAAATAAAATGTGCTCTCAGCATGAAAGAGAATTTTTGTGAAACATTAGCAATACAATCCAAAATAAATGTCGTGAAATTTATGTTATACTTATCTTTGAAACTACTGAGTATAATCTCATCTTTCTTGAACCAGAAGGTACTTTGAAAACTTTTAGTTTGAGTATCGATTATTAACATTAACTGCCATTGTGCAGTAGATATTTAGAAGGGGTAGATTAACTGAGAGGAACTATGCGAATTTGTTCTTTCGTTTGTTCTGCTTTGAACAAGAGTGGGATTACCAGCTGCTCATCAGAGTAGCTCAGAGAAACGAAGCCACTAGTCCAAGGTCACAGATTCGCAGATGGTCAGTGGAAGACCTTGGTGTTCCATCTCAAATCCAGAGTTCTTCTCACTCAGTTGCAGGGACCAAGCTCGACAAAGCCGTGCTGAAGGTCCACGGGCTGCCCGGCTGCGCCTGTGCCTGCGGAACCACAGTGCTAGGGAAGATGAAGGCCGAGTGAGGCGGGTGTGGGAGTCACAACCACGATCCCGAGGACCTTACGATGTCGGGTAAGTGGTGTGGGAATCGGATCTGTCTCTAACGTCAAGGGAGCAACAGGCGCTTAAGGGGCACTCAGACCTTCCCCGGCCCCCAGAGAGACCTGATTGTCCCCAGTGTCAGCGGCCTAAAGGGAGTTCGGCCCATTGCCCTCCCCCAGCAGATCTCGCTGTCCCCAATGTCAGGGGTAGGGAAATCTCGGTTTGTGCCCGGCGCAGAAGCCCGGAGGCGCTGGAAGCTCGCGCGCCTGCAGGCCTAGGCCAGAGCTCCTCTTAGGCCTCCGACCAGAGGCGTCGCTGTGCGCTCTCGCCGCCCGGGCAGGTTCCGCGGGAAGCCCGCGCGCGCAGACCTGGGGTTTCAGTTTCTGGCGCGAACTTCCGCCGTTCAGAAGTTGCACGGAGCATTGGCGCGATGTCGGGCGACAGCAGCCGCCGCCGGTCGGAAGGCCGGGGCCGGGGCCGGGGCCGCGATGCGCACAGCGACTCCACCCGCTCCAGCTCCCGCTCGCGATCGCCGCTGGCGCCTGGCGCCCGGCGCGGGGAGGCACCGCCGCGCCCAAGCCTGGACGCAGAGGACCTGTCGGACTCGGAGGACGAGGGTGTGGACCCAGCCAGCCTGGAGGCGGAGACCGACCACGGCCTGTGCCGCCAGATTCGCCACCAGTACCGGGCGCTCATCACCTCAGTCCAACGTAAGGGGCGCGGGCCGGGTCGCCCCGGTGCGCCCTCGGGAGGCCCCGGCCTGCGCCGCCAGGCTGCAGGCTTTATTCTCTGATTCGCAATTGTTGACAGCCCTGGCATTCGGGTGTTTACAGTGGGCGCCCACCTTTATTTTGTCCCTGGGGTCCCCTTCACGACCTTGAGGGGAGGCCGGCAGGTCCCCGGCTTGCAGAATGGCGGTGGCTTGCCAGAACCGGGCAGCTAGCCAAGGGGGCGCAGGACAGGTCACCTGTTTTTTTTATGGCAACCCGCGTCCCCTGAGAACCGACAGAAATGTCAGTTCTCCGACTCTACCCCGGACCCGAGTCTGAATGTCAGGAAGGTGCGCCAGGGGGGTCGATGACGTGCCCACACACCGGGTGTTTCAGATGCTTGCCAAAGTCTGCAGAGGTTGGGCCCTTGGGGGTAAGGTTTCCTTTTCAAGTTCCTGCGGTTTAAGGGCGGAGTTCTTAAACCCGTGCCGTTCTGGTTTTAACTGTTAAATGAAGTGCTTTCCTAGGGATCAGGGTACCCGGATTGACGTCATAGCTGCTGATGACAACTTGGTCAATGATTTTATTAATACCTGAATAGCACATTTCCCAAAATGTTCCTTTTTGTTTGTTTTTTTTTTTTTACATAGAAAATCGGGAGGACATACTGAGTGCTGGTGACAGGTTGACAGAGGTCCTTGAAGAGGCCAACACTCTGTTTAATGGAGGTAATTCATTAATTTTTGTACATAGAGAAGCTTTTGGTTACAGGATCTAGGACCATTTTGATTAGGTTTGTGTAAGAGCCATGTCATTGACATAGATCCAAAAATGAATTAAAGTTCCCAGTGGGTAATAGTGCTTTACCCATTTTGGAACTATTTCTTTGGATAGTGTCTTTGATACCTAGAGCTGCTTGCTGTAACAGAAATACTACAAGTGCATGGCTTAAATAGAGGAATGGGTTTCCCCTCAGTTTAGGAGGCTAGAAGTCTGAATTCGAGGTGCCAGTTCTAGGGGACAGACTTTCTACGATGGCTCTGGGGGGAAGGTCTGTGTTTCCTTTCTACACTTGTTAGCCTGATGTTTCTTGAGGATTTCCATGTGTTTTGGCATCAGTCTTCCTTTGGGTCTAGGAGGTTCTCAGCCCAGGAACCCTATGTTTGCATACTTCTCTCTCCCCTTTTATCTTTTGTTGTTGTTGTTGTTGTTCAGGGGGCATTTGCTTGATGCTCGAAGTTTAGGAATTTAAATTTTCACTCATGGTAGAAAATCACCATTCTCACATAGTCTCCCGCATAACCTTGCTCTGTTTATGAATCTTGGACTTTGCAAACATATCCACATATTTCTCTCCATTGTGGACAATCATTCCACTTATGATTGTCCTCCAACTTCAACAGCTGGCCTTGACGTAGAAACTTTGCAGTACCATTTTTAATTTAGAAATAGTGGCCTTGTCTAAGGAAGTTGCAGTGTAACTGTGCAAGGAACTTCTCCACGCTGGACACTCATGATGATTGAAAAGGCAGAAATGATGCCCGGGGTATTGTTCAAGCGACCATTTTCAGCAAGTAAATTGATCCGGTTGAATGTGAGGGAAGAAAATCTCTCTTTTGCTGTGATGTCATTTATATTTTTTCGCTTTAATGGAACATTTTACGCAGGGATTCAGAAGAGCAAGAGCTACTGTGGGCTCCTCAGAAGTTGTGCTACCTTCAACAACTCCTTTTCTACTTGATCCAATTTATTCTGCTTAAAGGCAGCAGAGGCAAGGGCAGTGGCATAGCGACCATCACTACCACGTATTTGAACAGGTGGCCTCACAAGCTTGGCAAATGGCCTGACCACAGATGTACTGAAGCCCCGCACCTGGGAGAGCCTGGTCACTGCGGGGCCAGTCATCTTCTCCCAGGCTTGTAGGTCAAACCCAAGTGAGAATCGAAACACATGTGAGGGCGTCCTTTGATCTTTTATAAGATACTTGAGTGAGGGCATGATTTGAGTACTTCAGTAAGGATGGATAGAGAGTGGAACTTGAGTCTTGTCCCCTTGTAAGGTGAACAAGATGAAACCCACCCTGATCCTGCCTCTTTATGGTGTGGTTAACTGCTGTTGAATTCGTTCCAACTCATAGCAACCTTGTATAGGGTTTCCAAGGAACAGTTGGTAGGTTTGAAGTGCCAACCTCGTGGTTCACAGTCCAATGCTGATCCTACAGCGCCAAACCAGGCGTCTTAAGTAACATATTGTTGTTAAGTGCCGTCAAATCAGTTCCGACCCACAGCGACCCTGTATAGAGTTTCCGAGGAGCAGCTGATAAGCTTGAACTGCCAACCTTGTGGTTCAAACTGAGTTTGCAGTCCAGCGCATTAACCTGAAGTGTCATTCAACCCCTTTAGGGTTGCTATGAGTCAAATTGACTCGACAACTTAAGGGTTTTTTTGTTTGTTTGATGGATTTATCAAGAAAGCACACTGAAACTGATCATATGCGTGTCTTATTATTACTACTAGTAATAAAATCTGAGTTTGAATGAAAGCTGACCAGCCTTCCTAAAAGCCAAGTCTCTCTCATTTCCTACTCCTGTTATCTGAACCCACATCTCTTAATAATAAAGCTTAACCAAAGTTCTTTAGCTCTAACACTTGCCAGGGGGCCAGCTTTCAGAGGGAGACAGATCTGTCTTTATTTAGCATGTTGAGATGAGTTTTGGTCCTGTATGAAATGCCTAGTTAATAGTTGGGAAAGTAGGGAAAATATATACGATAATGTGTATTTTGTAATATGTCTATCTTTTCTTCTTTCCTTTTTTTGATAGTGTCTCGAGCAAGAGAAGCAGTCCTAGATGCCCAGTTTCTTGTTTTGGCTTCAGATTTGGGGAAAGAGAAAGCAAAGCAGCTGCGTTCTGATCTGAGCTCGTTTGATATGTTGAGATACGTCGAGGCTCTAGTAAGTCCAAAGCTATAGAAACTTAATAAAAACTGTTGCCTTCATCTTATATAGCGATCTGCTTTACTTGTTTCTATGTGTTAATGATTTTCACTTCCTTTTCGCCTTTTCTGTCTATTTTTTTGGTCTCCTTGGATTCCTCCTAAGACAGCTTATTAAATTAAACCAATGAAAGTACAGCGATGCTGTGGGGTTGAGGGTTTTTTTTTTCCCCCTCTTAACAAACTTGACAGTTTGTTTCCTGAAAATGTGAAACTTTTCCTGATGAATATTGAGTCCTAATGGTTATAGCACTAGGCTGCTAAGCAAGCCGTTCTAACCCACCAGCTGTTCTGTGGGAGAAAGACGTAGCAATCTGCTTTCATAGAGATTTAGGAAACTCTGTGGGGCCGTTCTTCTCTATTCTTTAAGGTTGCTGTGAGTCAGATGGACTCAACAATAGTGGGGTTTGTTTGTTTGATAGCTTTATCAAAAAAGCACACTGAAATTGATCATACTCTTGTCTAATTATTACTAGTGGTGGTGGTGGTTCTACACCGAGTCCACCTCTGCCGTAACATTAGATGCACGGTGGTGTGCACATTTCATTTCTAGCTTGATATTGACATTACTTAAGTACTTATTAGCGAGCTCTGGTAGTGTAGTGGTTCCGAATCAGGCTGTGAACCTCAGGATCAGCAGTTCGAAACTACCAGCTGTTCCACGGGAGAAAGATGAGACTTTCTGCTTCCGTAAAGATGTTCAGCCTCGGAAATCTTAGTACAGGGTCGCTATGAGTCGGAATCGACTCCACGGCACATAAGTACCATCGACCACCAATCTCAGGGTTATTAATTTGGGGTTTTATACTTAGGGGTTTAAAATAAGGACAACCGTAGAAGAATTGATGCTTTTGAGTTATGGTGTTGGAGGAGAATATTGAAAGTGTCATGGGCTACCAAAAGAACGAATAGATCCGTATTGGAAGAAGTGCAACCAGAGTGTTCCTTAGAGGCCAAGATGGCCAAACTTCGTCGCTCATACTTTGGACATATTGTCAGGAGGGACCAGTTGTTGGAGAAGGATATCATGTTTGGTAAGGTGGAGGGTCGGAGAAGAAGGGGAAGACGCCCAACAAGATGGATTGGCCAAGTAGCAGCACTGATGGACTCAAGCGTGGCAACAATAGTGAGGTTGGCCCAGGAAGGGGCAGTGTTTCGTTCTACTGTGCATTGGGTCGCTATGAGTTGGTACCAACTCGATGACACCTAACAACAATCTCAGCATAAGGAGACTTGGTGGCACAAAGGTTAAGAGTTTGGCTGCTAACCTAAAGGTTGGCTTTTTGAAGCTACTTAGCAGATGTATTGGAGAAAGACCCAGTGATCTGCTCCCATAAAGACTGTTGTTGTTAAGTGCTGTTAACTCAGTTCTGCCTCCTAGCGACCCTTTACAGGGTTTCCAAGGAGCGCCTGGAGACCTTGAACTGCCGACCTTGCGGTTCAAACTGACTCTGCAGTCCAGTGTATTATCCTGCAGTGCCAGACCAGGACTCCCTCATAAAGATTACAGCCAAGAATACCCTATGAGGCAGCTCTCTTCTGTCCCTTGGGGTTATTAGGCTTTGGAATCACCAAATACACCTTTCCGTATAGAAACACGATCAATAGAGATAGTAGATTTGAGTAGATCAGTTTAACTGTTCTTCCTACCAACTGTGGTGGTAGGACTGGGCGGGAGGAGAATGGAGAGGAGAATTGGAGTATTCCACCCAGTCAGGAGTTTATGGAATCTTTTCTTAATAAAGCGTGATTGCCTTTGGTAAGGTTGGTGTTGTTAAGCGCTGTTGAGTCGGTTCTAGCCCATAGCGACCCTGTACACATTAAGTTCTCTAAAATCTTTGTGATATTGTTTACATATATTACCATTTTAATTTTATAACTTCCAAGTACTTTATAGTCTATTGCCCCAGAGTATAATCTTCAGCAAGGTAAATTCAGTGTAAGATAGTTGATATCAGAGATACCTCCTTCAGAGGTACTTTGGAGATGGCTGAGGTCTCAGGATAGCCTGAGACACAAGCTGAATCAAGACCTCTAGAGTGCTCTAGGAGATTAGTTAAAAATTCCTATCTGAAAGCCAGCTAAAATTCCCAGTTCTGTCTTGGAGCTTTTGACTTGGGATGTGATTTTAACTTTGTATTACATTACAGCTTTATTAATATTTTAAAAATGAATTATACTTGTGATTTAAGAACTTCTAGTGGGCTTGCTTTTTTAAGGGTATACCTAAACCTCAGTGTGCCAGGGAACTGGAGCAGGCTGTTTCAGCCTCAGTACTATGGTTAGTTGGGGCTTGGTAACACTTTGTTGTGGGGACTGTCCTGTGCATTGTAGGGTGCTGAACAGCATCCCCAATCTCTACTCACTAAATGCCTCTACCCCAATTGTTTCAACCAAAAATGTCTTCAGACAAATGCCACATGGGGACAAAATCACCCCAGTTGAGAGCCACTGGTCTAGAGCTCACGTTCCCTATGTGCATTAAGAGTTATTTTCTGCTAAAAAGATGAGAATCTCTCCAGTAAAGGATCTTCAGAATGAGGAATTTAGTCAACGCTAGAACATTGCCAACAGGCATATTTGACCTTTTAAAGTTTTCATGGTAATAGATGATTGGCTGTAGTGAATGATTGCTTGAGACTTAACTGGGTTTTTTTCTTTTTTGTTTCTTTCCCTTTGTTTTTGTAGCTTACACATATGGGTATAAATCCACTAGAAGCGGAAGAGCTCACCCATGATGAAGACAGTTCTGATTTTGAATCGATAGTCTATGATTCCTGGAAAATACCAGGCAAAACAGCCGAAAACAGCTTCAATAAAGCCCATACATTCCACTTTCTGTAAGATATTTTCAAAATCCGACAGACCGGTCCTTTGGAAACCTGAAACTGTTTATTTTAGATTTAAAGATGATGCTTGGCCTTCATGATGTGTTTAAAAGTCCGTAAACCCTTGATGGGGATGGAACTTGAAGGACCCCCTGCTCTTTGTTAGCCTCTTTATGCACACCTGTCTTTGGCGCCTCCCTCGCTGTGTGACTTTGGGTCTGGGATATTGTGTTTCTGGTTTTGCTCTGTCGTCTTAAAAATCCTTGCCAGTAGGACGAGGAGACCACCTGATAAGTATCCTAAGAGATTATATCAATATCTGTAACGTGGTAATTCTAATTTCCTCAGCTTTGAACTGTTTGAGTCAGAGTGTCAGAAGTAGCCCACTGTCTATTGGCTACTACTCTCTATTCAAATGGAATGAGCTACACTTAACTTCCTGCCACGGGTCCTCACAGAGAAATTTGGTACCAAGAGTCTTAGTCTGATGCCTGACTGGAATTCCACTCGACCTTAGTTTGTGAAATGAGTTTGTTTTAACAAAAACAAAGACATGAGAGCAGTTTTTTCATTAGGTTGGGTTCAATACAAGGAGAGCTCCCTGCGCCAAAGCCACGAGTCGATCGTCCAAGGAAAGAACGAATGACGGAAGAGCAGAAGAGGGCAATGCCTGCCCAGGTTCGTTTCTTTAAATGTTGCTTTTAAAGCACCTCAAGTGAAAATCGCCCCGAACGTAACATACGTTCAATTTGGCCTTCTTTGAGGTGTAGGGTTGGGAGCAAGTCACTGAAATCATTTCATTTAAAACCTGTAAACATTTTTATTGGGTTGAATACTTTGTTTATTTGGATTGAATACTTATGTAATTTTGATTTGTTGTTCTAAACCAGGGTTTCCCAACCTTGGTACTCTTGACATAAGGGGCTGGATAACTTTTGTGAGGTGCTGTCTTATGCATTGCATTATGTTTAGCCTCCTTCCTGGTCTCTACCCTACTAGATCCCAGTAAGATCTTTCCCTTCATTATGACAATCAAAAGTGTATATAGCTATTGGCAAATGTCTCATGGAGCGGGGTGAGGGTTCTCAACCTGGGATTGAGAACCACTGTTCTAAACGACCCTTTTTGTATTTTGTTGTTTTATGTTCAGTTATGAAGATGGTTGGTGTGATAATGTTCCTCTTCTGTTAAGCAATGATTATAAACGTGTTCTCGATGGCACTTAACAACAACAACAACTGAAATGACATCTTTTTTTATTATTATAAACTGTACATTCTAAGGCAGGAATAGAAACTGCTAGTACTCCCCAACAAAAACTATTCAGAGGGGCTTGGGTGTGGGAGAGACAATAAAAGGCGGTCACAGAAAGAAGTACGTCGGTTGGCTTAATGCTAACTTTCTTTTCCAGTTAAAGAGAATGGAAGAATCCCATCAAGAAGCAACAGAAAAAGAAGTAGAAAGGATCTTGGGATTGTTGCAAACGTATTTTCAACAAGATCGTAAGTATGGTACCAAATTGGAAGCGGAGCAAATTGTGTTCATCACAATTAGACCTTGGTCACTTTCATAAATTGTTTTTATGAAAAAGCCATTTGCAGCTGTCTGAGATTTGAATCTCTTTGATTCCTTTGTGACACAGGCATTTAGTGGCCTCCTCCTGGAGAAACCAAGCACATGTGAGAGCGTAGGTGAAGTAACTTCGTTTGTAGTTTCTCAAGGTGACTTTGGTTAAAAACAAAGTGTTCCATAGGAGGGAGAAAACTAAGAAGTACTTAATTCCACCTTCCCCAGGGACAGCCACTTAAAAAATATGTGTGTCTTATGAGATGGTTTTCTGTTTCTGTAGATCATATAAACACACATGTCTAAGTAGGTGGGTGGCTTTCAGATCAATTCACGTGCACCAAAAACTACCACCACCACTGAAAAAGCGCCCAGTTGCAGTTCAGTGGATTCTGTGCTGTTTAGAGAGGCACTGTGCCCCATGGGCCTTTGAGTGGCTGCCTGTTGGGAAGTAGATACCAAAACTTGCTGCTCATCCACCTCTGGGTGGATTCAAACTGACAACTTTTCAGCCAGCAGCTGAGTGCGACACCATTTTCAACACCCAGGGGGCTGCCCTTTACCTTCCCCCGTGATTCCCTCTGTATGGCTGTACCGTAATAGAATGAAAAGATAATGGAATTTTTCCTTGAACTTTCTGAAGTCCTTTCGTGTGTGTAACGAATCCTTTCCTGAGAGGCTGGTAGAACGCTTTGTAGAGTTTTACTCTTCTATCTGTTGCTGAAGGGAAGTGCATGTCTTTGTGCTGGTATTTCCGTGGAATTCCTGCTTAACTGGGGTAGGCAGGTAAGTGGGCACAAGGGTTTTAATACTGAGCACCACACTGCCCCCCAGAGGGGTTGATGGGCACCCTGTGACGGGGGAGGGACACCCATGTCTTCTCTAGGGCTGACACGGAGTATTGAGCTTCACCTTTGTGCCAGTTTGCTGAGTAGAAACACCCTTCCTTGCTTTGATGGAGTTTTTTCTCTTTTTTCTGTAGCGGACACACCAATGTCCTTCTTTGATTTTGTGGTTGACCCACATTCCTTTCCCCGCACAGTAGAAAACATCTTTCATGTTTCCTTCATTATAAGGGTAAGTTTTAAGACTGCTTTTATAGACATTTAAAAGGGTAAATTATAAAAGCTATCCATGGTACTGGCAAAGGTATTTGTATTAACTAATATGTATTTTGGAGTCCTGATGTGACACTGTAGATTAATGCGCTGGACTGCAGAGTCGCTTCGAGCCGTAAAATCGGTGGTTCAAGCTCACCAGTAGCTCCTCAGAAACTCTATACAGGGTTGCTGTGGGTCGGAACTGATTCAATGGCACTTCACAACAACAACAACAACAACAGTATGTATTTTGGATCCATTCGTTGCAAAATACCGACACGCAGACAGAAGAAACTGGATGAAAAGATGTCTACCTGTTGTTGTTAAGTGCCATGGAGTCGGTTCCGATTCATAGCGACCCTGTACAAGGTTTCCAAAGCTGTAAATCTTTACGGGAGTAGAAAGCCTCATCTTTCTCCCGCGGAACAGCTGGTAGTTTCGAACTTCTGACCTCGCAGTTCACAGCCCGATTCGGAACCACTATGCTACCAGAGCTCCTTTACATGTAGAAGCTATTTAAAGAATTGGCAAAGTTTGAATATGGAGATATATGCGGGGGCCTCCAAAAAGTTTGTGGAAAATGTAACTTAAAGATAATGGAATTTTTCCACAAACGTTTTGAAGCCCCTTCATATATTAGATAACATTATGGCTTCTGTGTTGTCATTGTTGGGTGACACCAAGTCAGTTTTCAATACACAGTGATGCCAAGGAACAGCAGAACTGCCCCGCAGGGCTCTCTAGGCTGTAATCTTGGATCCACAGTCAACTCTCGTGGAAGCAGCAGGCAAGAAATCAAACAACAGTTGCATTAGGCAAATCTACATAAGACCTCTTTAGAGTGTTCAAGAGCAAAGATATCTGAGGACTGAGGTGCATCTGACCGAAATCATGGTATTTTCAGTAGTCTTGTATGCATGTGAAAGTTGGACAATCAATAAGGAAGACCCTAGAAGAACTGATGCATTGGAGTTTTCATGTTGGAGATTCTTACAAATACATGGACTACCAGAAGAACAAACAAACCAGTATTGGAAGAGTTATAGCCAGAATGCTCCTTAGAAGTCAGGATGATAAGACTTTGTCTCTCATACTTTGGACATGTTATCAGGAGGGACCGCTTCCTGGAGAAGGATATCATGCTTGGTAAAAAGGAAGTGAGAAAGATGAAGAGCCCCAATGAGATGGCCGCAGCAGTAGGCACTGGACATTTACAGGGTACATTCCTGGACATGTTAGATGACTTGGACTTTCACTAAACTTAGATAAGCTCTTGTGTTGACCTAAGTATTCTTCCAGAAATGATATCAAAGGCATTCTTTAATAAATGGCAAGTGAGAGAATTAGGTGTAATAAAATGTACAGTATCCCAAATCAGATATGTCCGAGGCAGTAAAAGAAGCCAGATGGTTAGTTTTATTTAAGAGGTGTGTCTGGGTAGAAGATCTGATTAATAAACCCCAGAGATACCTTGTTGTCAAAGAGGATGTTAAGCCCAGCATGTCCCTATCATCTCCACATTTTTGTGAGGGTACAGTTTGAGTGTCTGAAATGAGAGTTTCCTAATTGAGTTATTTTTTCCCATCTAATAGTTTTGAATCTCAGTTTTGGTCTTCACCTCAAATCATGTTTGTGTTTTAGGATGGCTTTGCGAGAATAAGACTTGATCAAGATCGACTGCCGATAATAGGTAAGTGGTCATAATGTTCAGAACAATTAATTTTAGAGAAATCATATGTCTTTAGCTTACGAGATTGATTTATTTTTACTAGATGTAATTAAAAAAAATTTTTTTATTGTGTTTTTGGTGGAGGTCTACACAGCAGATTTGTTTCCCATTTAATCATTTCTCTACATACTTCGTTTTGTTGTGCATAGCATCTCTATGAGTGGGAACTGACCTGAGAGTAGCTAACGACAACAACAACATACATATGAAGGGGTTTCACAAAGTTTGTGGAAAAACCGGACTTGAAAGATGATGGAATTTTCCCAGGAACATTATGAAGCACCCTTGTATTTTCCAGGGATACCCATTATCTCTTCCATAGGATGTCAACATTTTCTTTTTTAGTTGTTCCGTTTCCATTCATCTAGCTCCCCTGACCACCTCACGTTTGCTTTAGGGGAAATGCTGACCATTTAGTCTCACAGATGACTTTTTTTAAACGGAGTACAGTACTCAGAGCGAATGTAAATGGGTTTTCATTGTAGGTAGCAAACTTTTACTATTGTATCTTGTGCAGCTCACTGAAAATACCGAAAACATGATCATAGCTTAAAACCCTGGTGGGGTGATCTGTGTCGCTGACCTCACATCTACTGTAGTTTAGTACTGACAAGGAGCGGTAGGACTTCTCTTGAAGTTGTAGTGTGTGGTCATGTCTGTCATTTTCTTCTTTCTAACCGCTCTTCCCCTGATGCCAGCTCCTCCCCTGAGGGTCTAGGGATTTCTGAGTTCTTACTTGAGTCGGGCCACGCTCACCATCATGCCTGCCCCTTTGAGGCCTCCCACAGAGAAGGAGGGCCTTCCACTGCACCTGTTACTTAGCGCGTTAACTTCGTATTAGCCTCACGAGGGCTGCTATCTGCTCTGTCCATAGCTGTGTTGTTACTGCTGTTGAATACCGTCCAGGACTCCTCATAGCTGTGCAGAGGTTTTCAGATGACTGGCACACATTGCTCTATGGTTAGTTTGTTTATTAAATAGACAGAAGCAGCTGGGGTTACTTGCTCTGTAGTAACACCACAAAAGGGCTTCAAAAAGTTTTTGGAAAAATTCCATTATCGTTCAGTTCCATTTTTCCACAAACTTTTTGGAACCCCCTTGTTTAATAGCGTAAGAGTACACAGAATCCTAATGTAACTGTTGTTAAGTGCCGTCAAGTTGGTTCTGACTCATTGAGACTCTGTTTAGGGTTTCTGAGGCCTGGTTGTTAGCTCGAACTGCTGACCTTGCAGTTTAGCAGTCCAGTGCTTATCCTTCAGCCCCATACCAGTACTCCACAGAATCCTAATAAGTACATATAATTAAAATGAGACCTGGTGGCGCATTGGTTAAATGCTTGGCTGCTAACCAGAAGGTCAGTGGTTCTAAAGTGTCAGTAGCTCCATGGAGAAAGATGTGGTTGTTTGCTTCCATAAGGTTCCAGCAGTGACACTCTATGTGGCAGGCGGTCTGTGTGTGCTGTTAGGACCCCTATGAGTTGGAATTGACTCGAGGGCACACCACCCCCATCATCACTGCCAGTTATAAGCATTTGCTCAGGACAGATTTTGGTCCTGTTAGCTCATCTGTTTGTTTGGATTCATTACCTCTTCTGCTGGGATAACCTTTGAAACTTGTCTTTCCAACAGAGCCTGTTACTATTAGTGAAAATGAGAGCATTGACCACAACACCCAGATTCGGAACCAGGGGATTATCTCGCTGAGTTATCGGGACTGGGAGGTAAAGCTCGGCGCGCAGCCCCCACATCTTTTCTGGCCCGTGCATCCCTGCGTGTGTCCCGCCTGGTACCTAAACATTCTGTGTTCTCCACCAGGAGATCGTGAGGACCTTTGAGATTTCCGAGCCCGTCATTGCCTCCAGTCAGAGCCAGCGGGATCAGAGTACTTGATGCCGGCCCCAGGTATCATTTCCCATGGGCGGTCGCACAGCTTTGCTAAGGCTCACCTGGACGCCACACCATCCTCCTTTTCCCCACTCCAGAGAAATCTGGATTTTGCCTTCTTTGCATACTCCGTTCTTCACTCCCTAGGCCTGAACATAACTGGGAGAGAGGCAGAGGGAGGGCCAGTGGTTGCCAACTCCCCTTGCGGGACTGGGAACTTTGGAGTTCTTGAGATGTGTAGTCAGACTAAGGAGTGTTTTCCCCCAATACCTTGATACATTAGATACATTTTGCTCACAGTCCGTTAGGTGTGCTTACTTTAGAGATGCAAAGCAGAGAAGGGGGGCTAGGATAGAACTGGCCTTGAAGTGATCGTAAGCGATCATTTCTAAAATTTGAGGTGTGCTCTGATAAAGTCTTCATTTTTACGCAGAGAAGCATCTCTAGTTCAGATCTAGCAGTGACCTGGCATTCTGGAAGGTACACTGTGGAGATGGCAGTCAGGAGACCTAGTGGTTGTGCCGCCTCACTAGCTCTAAGGCCTTGGAATGACTCGATGACCCTTTTCTTTCCCATGCACTGTCTCAGTTCCCACCCCGGGGATGTTTTCGTTAGCATCGATGTGCCAGCCTTTTTTCCGTATGTTTCTATAAATATATGGTGTCAGATATAGTACCAGAAAATAAAACCATTATGAGTAACAGCAAAACATTGTCAGATACAGTGCTGGAAGATGAACCCCTTGGTTGGAAGGCACTTAAAATATGACTAGGGAAGAGCTGCGTTCTCAAAGTAGAGTTGACCATAATGGCACGATTGGAGTAAAGCTTTTGAAACCTTCACTTGCTGATGAAGTACAAATCCAAATGCGGAGAAAAGAACTGTAAACATCCACTACTAACTGGAACATGGAGTATATGAAGTATGACTCGAGGAATATCGGAAGTTATCAAAAATGAAATGGGATGCATAAAGATTGATAATCCTTGGTATTTGTTGTTGTTGTTAGGTGCCATTGAGTTGGTACTGACTCATAGTGAGCCTATGCACAATAGAATGAAACACTGCCCAGTCCTGGACCAAACATATGAGTAAACTGAAATGAACTGGTATTGGCCATTCTGGATCAGACAATTACATGGCTTACTTTCTATGCTGGGAATGACAAATTGAAGAGGAATCGTGTTGCATTCATCATCAAAAAGAACATTTAAAATCTTGAAGTACAATGCTGTATGTGATAAAATAATATTCATATGCCTACCAGGCAGACAAGTTAATGCCACGATTATTCATATTTACACACCAAACACTAATGACAGTGATGATGAAATTGAATGATTCTACCAACTTCTTCAGTCTGAAATTGAACAGACTTTCAATCAAGATGCATCAAAAATTACTGGTGATTGGAATGCAAAGCTTGGAAACAAAGAGGAAGGATTAGTAGTTGGAAAGCATGGCCTTGGTGATGAAAATTATGCTGGAGACTGCATGATAGAATTTTGCAAGACCGATGACTTATATTCATAGCAAATACCTTCTGTAAACAACATAAAAGACACATGGACCTTACCTGATAGAATACATAAAAATCACATTGACTATATCTATAGAAAGAGACGTGGAAAAGCCAAAACAAGGTCAGGGTAGACTATGAAACAGACCATCAGTTGCTCATATGCAAGTTCAGGCTGAAGATGAAGAAAATTAAAACAAGTCCAGAGAGGTAAAATATGACCTTGGCCATATCCCACCTGAATTTAGGGATCATCTGAGGAACAGATGTGCTGCATTAGACACTAAAGACCAAAGACTAGAAGAGTTATGGGATGACATCAAGAACATCACACAAGAAGACAGCAAAAGGTCATTAAAAAGATAGGAAATAAAAGGCCAAAATGGATGTCAGAAGAGACTCTGAAATTTCATCAGAAAGAAATGGCTGATGTTCAGCCATTTCAGGAGGTAGCATATGATCAAGATCCGATGGTACTGAAGGAAGAAGTTCAAGCTACACTGAAGGCACTGGTAAAAAACAAGTCTCTAGGAACTGATGGATTACAAATTGAAATAGTTCAACAAACATGCTGCATTGGAGGCGTGCATTCATCTAAACCAAGACAATTGGAAAACAGGGCAGCCGATTGGAAAAAACCTATATTTGTACCCATACCAAAGAGAGGCGACCCAACAGAATGTGGGAATCATCAAACAATATCATTAATATCACATGCAAGTAAAATTTAGCTGAAGATAGTTTAAAATGGTTGCAACAGTACATCGACAGTGAACTACCAGAAATTTAAGCCAGTTCAGAAAAGGACGTGGAACTAGGGATATCATTGCTGACATCAGATGGATCTTGGCTGAAAGCAAAGAATACCAGAAAGATGTTTACTTGTGCTTTATTGACTATGAAAAGGTTTTCAGCTATGTAGTTTATGACAAACATTTGCAAAGAATGGGTATTCCAGAACACTTAATTATGCTCATGCGGAACCTGTACGTAAATCAAGTGGTAGTCATTCGAACAGAACAAGGGGATGCTGAATGGTTTAAAATCAGGAAAGGTGTGTGACAGGGTTGTATTCTTTCACCATACTTATTCAATCTGTATGTTGAGCCAGTAATCTGAGAAGATGGATTATACAAAGAATCAGGATTGGAGGAAGACTCATTAACGATCTGATAATCAGCTGATACAGCCTTGCTTGCTGGAAGTGAAGAGGGCTTAAAACACTGAAGATAAAAAAATACAGTTTTTAGTATAGATTGTATCTCAATGTAAAGAAAACAAAAATCCACACAACTGGACCGCTACATAGCATCATGATAAACGGAGAAAAGATTGAAGTGGTCATAGAGTTCGTTTTGCTTGGACTCAATCAATATTCATGGAAGAAGCAGTCAAGAAGTCAGAGGATGTATTGCATTAGATAAACCTGCTGTACAAGACCTCTTTAAAGTCTTAAAGTTCAAAGTTATGAGGGTTTGAGAATTAAGGTGCACCTGGCTCAAGCCATGGTATTTTCAGTTGCCTTGTATGCCTGTGAAAGTTGGACAATGAATACCGCAGATTGTAAAAGAATCGATGCATTTAGATTATGGTGTTAGAGAAGAATATTGAAAGCACCATGGATTGTCAAGAACAAACAAATCTGTGCTGGAAGAAGTACAGCTAGAATACTCCTTGGAAGCCAGGATGGTGAGACTTGATCTCCCATACTTCAGAAATTTAGTTAGGAGGGACCAGTCCCTGGAGAAGAGTGGAGGGTCAGCGAAAAAGAGGAAGACGCCCTACTAGATGGATCAACACCCTGGCCGCTGCATTAGGGTCAAATGTAACAAGAACTGTGAGGATGTTGTAGGATCTGTGATCTATAAAGTTGTTGTAAGCTGGAATGGACTCAATGGTACTTAACAACAACAACAAAGTTTTTTTTAAAAAATAGCTAAGTGTTTTTCTAAAAATATTTCCTGGGATGGGGATGGGGGAGCGGTTGGTAAATAAACATAGAAGGCGAATTATTTGTGTAAAATATAGGTGTATGTGACCTGGTTGACTTACTGAGGAGGGACTAGTTATAATCTTTCATTATGTAAATGAACTTTATCATTTATAAGCACCTAGTAAGCTATCCCCTTAGGTATATTAAATGCACTTTATCATCTATAAATATCTCATAAGCTATCCCCTTGTCCTCCCTTTTTTTTTTTAGGACTCAAATGGATACTGAAATGCAAACAGCAGAGAAGCATGTGTTGTATATATTGTATGATTCAACATTTTTAAAGACATAGTTTTTAGTAAAATGCAGCTTTTGATAGTTAATGAATTTGTCTTGGTCGTCTTTGATTAAAGGAAATTCACTGCCATGTTCACAGTATAACTGTAGTTACTCTTTATTTTCTGATGGAGGGCCACTCCTTCCTCCACTCCTGTCCCATTGAAGGTAACAGGTAGGCAGACTGTTAATGACCTAATGAATAATGGCATCTCATTATTTTAAAGGTAGCCAGTCAACCAATAGAAGGTGGAACAACATGAAATTGTTTTGGTCATAGAAAATGGCCAAATATCATCAATTTCCTATGACTCTGCCTGTGATTTGTTTACACTCTCTACCTTAAACCATGCCCCTCTTTCTCCTGTCTTAAATATTCTGATGACTCTTCCTCAAACTCACTCAGCTGTTGGGTTGGTAACCTCAAGGTTGGCAGTTCAAACCCTCCTGCTACTGTGGGAGAAAGATGCTCCCGTAAAGGTTTACAGTCTCGGAAGTCCTATAATGGGTCACTCTGAGTTGGGAATGTCACGATGGCAATGGGGTTTAGGTGGTTCCTTGTTTCTGTCCCTTCTCCTCTTTAAATAGCGAGGCATCTAGCTGCAATACTTGTAGATCCAGTATTTCTGGTTCAATTTTTTCTTTGCCAGTAGATTCCACTTAGAAACAAAAACAGGGGGTTTAGGACTTAACTACTCATAACTGAAGGAACACTAGTATGAAAAATGTATACAATAATCACAAAAATAATTTAACCTTTATTTTTCTCTAGCTGACTTCTCAAAAATGGTGGCATGCTCAGGAACTTCCTTTGAGGTGGTTTGTCTGTATCATCCTCCTTTTTTGACTTTTCCATCAGAACGGTCACTTCGAGAAGTGCTTTGCGGTGAGGCTGGACAATTGGGTAGGCAGTGACCCATTCAAATTCTTTGGCCTTCCCTTTCTTCACTGGAGATTTGGGGCAAGGAGGGACTTGGTTACAGAGTTTCTCAGCCTCTTTTTGATCGTTCCTTTGCTCCGTGAGTTCTCGCCCTCGAATCATACGATCTCGGTGACCCTTCATCTGTTTGCTCACCCACGCCACCTTGTGCTTCTCACTTTTAGTTTGGGGTGTTCTCTGGATCTTTTCAATCGGTGATGATGTCTTGCGGGGGGACACGTCAATGGGAATTCTTTTGGAGAGCAGGTGGTAGTTGTGGTCCCTGAGGCCTCTGGCGC